GGAATTTCACTCGGCTTGTTTTCGCTAAACAGGAAAATATGTTACAAATGATCAGCTACTTGTTTCTAAATTTCACGAGCAAATCTAATGGTCAACGAATAATAAGGCGAATTGACTGTCGTAGATACCTGTACCAAGTCAGGAATATGACAGTTGTTTTCCATTCGTTCCGTTTGTTGAAAAGAGACAAAAAATTACAAGGGGACGATAAAAGAAATCAAAAGTCTAATAAAAACAGACAACGGACCGCATCATGACCAAATATGGCGGACGTGCATTCGGTATGACTCATGGAATTGACATGGTTCTACGTTATACTGTTATATTCATATCCAAATATGGTCAACATGCATCCGTCGTGTTTCATCTTCCTTACTTCCGGTGATGTCATTAGGGCGGGGAAAGAGGTTGGTATATGCCCATATATAATATTAGGGGGTAAGAGGCGGGGCATGCCCATATTTGGGACAACCAAAGCACCACGGGTTTTGGTGGGGGTTATAAAACCTCAGCTCCTTCTACTCATCATTGGCTTTAAAATATTTGGCGTTGGTAGTTCATGATGAAGATATATTCAGAAAACGGTTCGGACGCATAGAAATTATAAAGTGTTATTTCCATTGTTTATAAATACATATTCATAATATCGCAACATATTTTTTCCATGAGTGGTTATTTGAACTAGCTGCCCGTAACTGCGAGTACTGTCAGATCTGTACTTAGTGTTGTTGTGGGGATAAATGATAACCCTGCCACGTCAGGTCTGTGTGTTTATTAGATGTTTTCCTGCTTTGTATCGATATGATGAGTTAAGCCCTTTTCAACTGATATTTATAATTTGTTCTTATGTTGTACTGTTACACCACTATCCCAGGTTAGGGCAAAGTTTTGTGCCAGAAAACAAGTTTAACCCCGACACATTCTGTATATGCCTGTCCCAAGTCCGGAGCCTGTAATTCAGAGGTTGTCGTTTTTTGCATTATATTAGTTTTTCGTTCATTGTTTTGTACAAAAATCAAGCCGTTGTTTTTTTTCGTTTGAATTGTTTTACATTTGTCATTTCGGGGCCTTTTATAGCTGGCTTTGAGGCATAGGTTTCGCTCATTTTTGAAAGCCGTACGGTGACCTATAGTTTTTTAACTTCTATGTTAAAATTTTGCCCCCGAATTGTTTTTTTATCATTGTTTATTTTGTTATATGAATTTTTGGGAAAATTTGCCGATATTTTTTTGGGGAAAAATTAGCATTAATTTTATTTTCATGTTGGAATTTTGCATTTTTTTAATATAATTTTGGCAAACTTTTATTTATTCTACTAGAATTTTGGCAAAATTTTAATTTCTTTTTCAATTTTGCAAAATAATATTTTTGGGGAATTTTTGCAAAATTTTATTCTCTGCTGTAAAGAGATGAGATGCTATTTTTAACCGGGTAATTAGGCAATACGTGTGCAAGATTCATGCCTTATTAGATATCAATATAATAAAACCTCAATTTGCATTATGATCTTTAAGTTTTTTTCAAAAACTGAATATAGATATGTTCAAACCTATTAAGATTTTTGGTTTTTTGTCAGACATTATCCTTGCTGTAAGAATCAGTATTTTTTTCAGAAAAATCGCTTGTGGGTGAATCCATTCCTGCTTAATCGCTAAAACAACAAGTTATAAATCATTAGATTTGCATATGTGAATAGCTTCTGAAACTAAAAAGATAATAATTGACCGCATGAGAAATGTTTGGAGAGAATTGTTGTTCCATGTACCGCAGATGATGTAATTTTAAATTAACAAAAACATAATTAGCTACAATGTTAATCACATATTGTTGTACCGTTTGAGAATAGATTCATAAGAAATTTCCACAGATCTTTAATTAACCATAAAAATTTCCTCAGATATTGATAATTTCGAATAAATAAGATATTGAATAATCCATTAAGAAAATAAACTAAATTATCCACATATAAAAGTAAGAAAAAGTTATATGATTGCTAACTATCCACCAAAGACCAAATGACGTGGATGTAAGTAACTGTATGTAAGTGTTATGACTTCAACAATGAGAATAGTCCATACCGTATAGTAAGCAATAAAATACCCCGAAATGACAAAATGTAAAACAAAGATTGGAAAACCAACAGCCTGCTATTTTTTAGTTAATCTAATATTTCAACCACAATATGCGAATGATATAATATGACAATTTCAAGCATGCTCAACCATAAATACATCTTGTCTTACAAACTGATTTTCCATAATGAATAGAACGAAATTTTGATTTAGAAATATGGGTCACAAATATTTACTCTACAATAACCAACCGACTAATTACTATGCAAAAAACACTGAACAAAGAAAATAGTAATACATGTAACAACGTATTATCTTTTGGACTTTTCAGATACCGTAAGATACTACAGTAATTATTTACTCATTTTACTGTTGATTCATCATATATATTTGTAGGCGAAAAAAATGGGAAACTGTTGCGGTTCTCCTACACAAGTGGTTTGTCATGAACTTCCTCCTCCTCCAAAATATGATCGGAAAGAAATAAATGATAACTTGACAACTATTCTTCGTGAAAGCTATGATTGGGTTAATGGTCTTCAGCAAACTTTTGTAAGTACGAATGTATATCACTATTTTACAGCTGATTGATTTAAGTGTTTCATGACTTTACATTTTAATTTGCATTTTTCTTTAAGAACAATGAATACAGTTTTCATTAGGTATTTGGAATGGACTTGTTAAATTGCCGGTATTAGAACGGACGCTTCAAAATATATATGCGTCCACGTTGTATTAGTATTAAAGAAGTAAAAGGTTCTGACATGCTGCATCGTTGTTCATAAAATGAATAAACACTGATAAGTCAAGGATCGACAAAATCAGGTTACAAAAGAAAAACGACGAAATGATAAACAGCAATCTGAAAACACTTCATATAAAACCAAAGACTGAGGAAAATAAACCCAAAAAACAATTTAAAAAAACGGGGTTCCATATCGATGCAACCGTGAAACTTACATCAACTAACCGTTTCCATGTTCCTAGGAAACTTGATGGAGGGTCCAAAAGCACGGCGAATTGTTCTTAAGCTATCCATTTTGTTCTGTTTTTGCCTATGCTATGATATAATTGCTAATATTAACAAATGGTTATCTTTCAATAGTATTAAACAATGTTCCTAGAAAACAATCACAATTAACAGTCATTTGAAAACAGTCATATAGGCAAAATATAATACTTAAAGTTTCTGACTGAATAGTATGCTACTAAATGTCCTTTTGCTAATATGGTAAACAAGAGAAGATACACATTATTTTGTTTTCTATTTATCTTATCTGTTTTACAAACCTTGAGAAATAAAACCACACCAAAGGCTGATAGAGATAATTTGTTTATTTTTATGCTTGATGTATTCATACAACATGGAATTTCACTCGGCTTGTTTTCGCTACACAGGAAAATGTGTTACAAATGATCAGCTACTTGTTTCTTAATTTCACGGGCAAATCCATATGGTCAACGAATTATGAGGCGAATTGACTGTCGTAGATACCTGTACCATGTCAGGAATATTTGTTAGATTTTATGGACTTCAAACTTGTTTATTTTTGACATGGCGAGACTACAAAAGAGACAAAAAATTACAAGGGGACGATAAAAGAAATCAAATGTCTAATAAATACAGACAACGAACCGCATCATGACTAAATATGGCGGTAAACTTTTATTGTTTTTATTCTACTAGAATTTTGGCAAAATTTTAATTTCTTTTTCAATTTTGCAAAATAATATTTTTGGGGAATTTTTGCAGAATTTTATTCGCTGCTGTAAAGAGATGAGATGCTATTTTTAACCGAGTAATTAGGCAATAAGTGTGCAAGATTCATGCCTTATTAGATATATATATATATAATAAAACCTCAATTTGCATTATGATCTTAAAGTTTTTTTCAAAGGCTGAATATAGATATGTTCAAACCTATTAAGATTTTTGGTTTTTTGTCAGACATTATCCTTGCTGTACAAATCAGTAGTTTTTCAGAAAGATAGCTTGTGGGCGAATCCATTCCTGCTTTATCGCTATAAAAACAAGTAATTAATCATTGATTTGCATATGTGAATAGCTTCTGAAAAGATAATAATTGACCGCCTGAGAAATGTTTGGAGAGAGTTGTTGTTCCATATACCGCAGATGATGTAACTTTAAATTAACGAAAACATAATTAGCTACAATATTAATCACATATTGTTGTATCGTTTGAAAATTTATTCATAAGAAATTTTAACAGATCTTTAATTAACCATAAAAATATCCTCAGATATTGATAATTTCGAATAAATAAGATAGTGAATAATCCATTAAGAAAATAAACTAAATTATCCACATATAAAAGTAAGAAAAAGTTATATGATTGCTAATTGTCCACCAAAGACCAAATGATATGGATGTAAGTAACTGTATGTAAGTGTTATGACTTCAACAATGAGAATAGTCCATACCGTATAGTAAGCAATAAAATACCCCGACATGACAAAATGTAAAACAAAGATTGGAAAACCAACAGCCTGCTATTTTTTAGTTAATGTAATATTTCAACCACAATATGCGAATGATATAATATGACAATTTCAAGCATGCTCAACCATAAATACATCTTGTCTTACAAACTGATTTTCCATAATGAATAGAACGAAATTTTAATTTAGAAATATGGGGTCACAAATATTTACTCTACAATAACCAACCGACTAATTACTATGCAAAAAACACTGAACAAAGAAAATAGTAATACATGTAACAACGTATTATCTTTTGGACTTTTCAGATACCGTAAGATACTAAAGTAATTATTTACTCATTTTACTGTTGATTCATCATATATATTTGTAGGCGAAAAAAATGGGAAACTGTTGCGGTTCTCCTACACAAGTGGTTTGTCATGAACTTCCTCCTCCTCCAAAATATGATCGGAAAGAAATATATGATAACTTGACAACTATTCTTCGTGAAAGCTATGATTGGGTTAATGGTCTTCAGCAAACTTTTGTAAGTACGAATGTATATCATTATTTTACAGCTGATTGATTTAAGTGTGTTTCCATGACTTTACATTTTAATTTGCATTTTTCTTTAAGAACAATGAATACATTTTTCATTAGTTATTTGGAATGGACTTGTTAAATTGCCGGTATTAGAACGGACGCTTCACTATATATATGCGTCCACGTTGTATTCTAAGTAAGAAGTAAAAGGTTTTGACATGCTGCATCGTTGTTCATAAAAAGAATAAACACTGATAAGTCAAGGGTCGACAAAATCAGGTTACAAAAGAAAAACGACGAAATGATAAACAGCAATCTGAAAACACTACATATCAAACCAAAAACTGAGGAAAATGAACCCCAAAAACAATTTAAAAAACCGGGGTTCCACATCGATGCAACCGTAAAACTTACATCAACTAACCGTTTGCATTTTCCTAGGAAACTTGATGGAGGGCCCAAAAGGACTGCAAATGGTTCTTTAAATATCCATTTAGTTCTGTTTTTGCCTATGCTATGATGTAATTGCTAATATTAACAAATGGTTATCTTTTAATAGTATTAAACAATGTTCCTAGAAAACAATCACAATTAACAGTCATTTGAAAATAGTCATATAGGCAAAACATAATACTTAAAGTTTCTGACTGAATAGTATGCTACTAAACGTCCTTTTGCTAATATGGTAAACAAGAGACGATACACATTATTTTGTTTTCTATTTATCTTATCTGTTTTACAAACCTTGAGTAATAAAACCACGCCAAAGGCTGATAGAGTTAATTTTGTTTATTTTTATGCTTGATGTATTCATACAATATGGAATTTCACTCGGCTTGTTTTCGCTACACAGGAAAATGTGTTACAAATGATCAGCTACTTGTTTCTTAATTTCATGAGCAAATCCATATGGTCAACGAATAATAAGGCGAATTGACTGTCGTAGATACCTGTACCAAGTCAAGAATATGACAGTTATTTTCCATTCGTTCCGTTTGTTGATATAGTCGCGGGCTTAATTTTGTTAGGTTTATGGACTTCAAACTTGTTTATTTTTGACATGGCGAGACTACAAAAGAGACAAAAAATTACAAGGGGACGATAAAAGAAATCAAAAGTCTAATAAAAACAGACAAAATAATGGTCATAAACAAAAATGTTGAAAAAAATATATAGAATACTAAAGAATGACGACACGAACCACGCCGAAAATCGGAGATAAACTCAGGTGCTCTATCTACAAGAGCAAAGATTCTGTGTACTCCCAAAGAAAAAAAAAAACCGACTATTTATCCAACATTCACATAAAATTTGCACACTTTCAAACTTTAATACATATAAACTAATTTATATATTAACATGTAACAACTCGTTGCGAGTTTTGATGACTGAGGTAAAATTTTGTTTATTCATTTCATCAACCTTCTCTCCAATATCATCACTGAACAAAACGGCTATGTCGCCGATAATGAACTGAAGCTTATTAACGCTAGGCAAATCTGAGAAAAACACACCCGTTCCGGCATTGAGAAGAAAATCGTGCATCCATCATTTTCACTTTGTAGTATCTGAATTTGATTTTTTATATTTCTTAATTCCTGGACCAAGTCAGTATTGTTCTGTAAGACTAGACCGAGTTTTTTATCCATAGCTTTTATCAATGTTGGTACGACAATCAGGACTTTTCCAAAAGCCGATAGGGTCGTCTTTCTCGACTTCTACGCACCTTTCATGGAACCACTCTTGACAGAAATTACAACGAATCTGATCTTGGTCTTTTTAATGTTACATTGCAAGGGTGATTTGATGTTACTACAGAAGTATTCTGGGTAGTTCGATGATCTTTTTTTGTTTTTTTTTTTGGTTCGCTGAAACGGTATATTCATACGAGGCTGAGACTGAGATCTTGTGTATTTCTTTTATCATAGTTATGCTTTCATCAGCATTGTTTGTTTCTTTCTCCTGGTTATCTACTTTTATATTGTCTGCATCTATGACATAATCGTGAAAAATGTCGTAATCGGTTATAAGCATTTGACGGAACGAATCTGATAACTCTATCTGATCAGTTTTGATCACTTTGTTTTCCAATTTACTAGTGTTGTTTCTAAGTTAAGAAATTGTTTCGATCGGTGTGGTTTGTAACGTTTTTTCATTCTCCTTTACTACTTCGTTTACCTTTTTAGGGATGCTAGCTTTTCGTTCTCTGATCCGTAGTTCACTATCTCGCTCGCTAGACAAAGCATTTGCTATAACCTGGCCTGCTGAGTCAATGTCATCAGCACAGATGTTTGGTCCTTGCTGTGTTGTACTCGGGTTTTGAAAAAAGACTTTAGTTCCTGAACAGACATGTTTCTTATAATAAGTTAATGCTCTTCCCATATAGTTTTCTCTGAGATGTTAAAGTTTTGTCTAGATTTCGGGGTTAAATTGAAATGTTTCATAATTTAATCGCGTGTAAAGCAAATACTATCACATTCATTTGGACACCAGAAAGGTAAAGTTTCAATCGTCTTGTACTGTATGTATTTTAACCTGCGGCTATAAACCGGGTTCAAAGTCCAATCTAATCAGATCGGTCAATAACGGTGTTTAGAAAATGCTCTCGACCAATGAAATTGTAGGATTTGATGCTTCTTAATTGTGAAGAATGAATGTAAATCATGTTCTTAGTAAAAGATTTTCCTACTGTTTAGACCTATTTACAGTTCAAAACAAAGAGTTTCTATAAATGAGTTTCAACTGCCCCGAAGCACATTTATCAGCTTGAAAGGATTTGTGATTGATTTTTTTTTTTTTAAATTAAATTTTTATAAGTCAGTTTCAATCACAAAATACTGACTAATAAAAATTTAATTTTGAAACAAACAAAAATATTACAATAAAAAATTAGAATATTTTGAAATAACTTCAAATTACTTAAAAATAAACGATACCAAAGCAATGCAAAAAAAGTTTTAAAAAGTTTTGAAATTAAATATAACCTAAATATTTAGCTAATATGCTTGCCAAAACTCAGATCTCTGGATCCGCGGTTGTTAAAAAAAAAAAGGAATTTCCAATATTCTGATAAAAAAAAAGGAATTTCATTTAACTTTTGAATATATCTAAAACTTTTAAAGGCATTTCATTCGAACATTTCCCTGACATAATGAAGTAGCACTTGATGTAAAGAGCTGGACTAAAAGAAGATTGACTGTGAAATAAATTTTAGCTTTAACTCTAATTTTGAATTTATTGATGTGAACTGTAAATAAACAAAAAGATAATACCTCACTAAAACATTACATGAATAACATTCATATTCACAATCACGAAACTTATACAATTCCCACCATTTCATTGTACTGTTGTGTCATCTAGTGTCTAAAACACAATGAATTATATTTTGCAAAATCATAAGAAAATCCTTACATCACTAAAACTAATTCATGAATGAAATACATAAAAAGAAAGTCATGCATTTCTCATAAAAATTGCACTAACAATGAACCTAATTCTTGAATACAACTAATCAAGAGTTCATTTGATCCTTGAGCACTTTACAATATTCTAAGTTTGTAAGAGAATGACAATCCCTTTCATTATGATAAGTACTCGCTAACGCTCGTACTTAATCATGAAGAAAGGAATTATCATTCTCTTACATATAGTAATCCTTATAAAAATAAACATGTCGAGTAAGCTGTCTTCATATGTTGTGATTACATATGTTTCAATACTGTGTCATAAGTTTTCGACATATATTTTGAAATGTCAATATATTAAAAGACTCACATTAGGGCCTTCATGAATATTATAAATCCACACTCGGTATAAATTTCCTATATCAAATAAGTATATAAATACAGGCATGAAATATTAACACATGACAAAGTGCAGGGTATCTTTCGCATATCTTTTTTCCCTACCAAATCGTGTCCTCTGCATTAGTCCTAACAAACACAATTATTTTACATTGATTTCTTTCGATTTGAGGCAATATTAAATTTTGTTGACAGTTTCAAAGACTTCCTACTTGATATACTGGTTACTTAGGTTACACTGAAATGATTACATTTTGATTACTTTAGTAATATAGTTAAACGGAAAATAGACAACGATATGTATCCTTTACTTGAAGAGTTCTATCTAATGGCTTATTCAGAAATGTTTTTGTCACAAAGCTACTTTATGTTCAACCAGATTTCCTGATAGATTTTAACGTATTTCCATCTTTTGTAAACAAATGACATACAATGATTCAAAATACTTCAAAACCTTTATCTAGTATATGAAAATAGGAAACTAGCCTAAGTGAAGTTATGTGTCTATATTAGAAGAATGTTGTTAAAAAAAGTATAACAAAAATACTAGACTTCAAAAAGGGGAAGTCAATAGAAACTGACAAAATCAAACCCTATCAACCAACGAAACAAGTAAAAAACAACTGCCATATTCCTGACGTGGTACAGGCATTTTCCGCAGAATCTGGTGGGTTAAACCTGTTTTATAGCTAGCTAAATCTCCCTCTTGTATGACAGTCGTTAATAGTTCTGTCATATCAACAACATTGGGTAAGCAACCCATTATTTAGATCCTTGGTATGAGCTTCCATCTAGAAAACAAATGTTTCCTAATCAAACAGAAATGAATTACTTTTAATATAGTAATCGATTGTAATCGATATCTTACAGAAATCAGTGTAATCGATCATTAATTGATTAGAAAAAAGTACTTCAAGTAATCAATTAATACTTTTGACACAGTATGACTTGATTTCTTTATCTAGTTAGCCCACTAGGCTTGTGTGGATAATGCACAGTATCATATACATCCCTTTCGAAATAATTGATGGCACTATCAGTTTTGGTGTTGATATTGCTAAAATCATTAGCTTGAAGAAAAAAAAACGTTTGAAAAGTTAACTTTAAGTATTTGTCTTTCTATGTTTTCCATGAATCTTTCGCGTTTTATTTACCAAGACATCATTTTAGACATAAAAAAACTGTAAATAACTAGAGTTTCTAATCCTCATTTGTGATTAAATTTTTCTAAGTGTAGCAAACATGTTTAAAACAGCATTATGTATATTCATCAGGCAAACAAAGTGATACAAAGTCCCCGAATGATTAAAGCTGTAAGAAAGAAAGTTGAAAAAGAATTAAGAAAGTCAAAAAAGACAAAATTTCTGTCAGAAAAGAAGGCAGAGAAAATAGTCAATGATATACAAAAGGTATGTAAACGTTTAAGTATACTGTCAAATTCTAATTAGATCGTTTCCTTTTGATAGGCACATTGAACGTTTTATAGACCATATGGGTATTTTCTACCAAACTGGAAACAACTTGACAATATCGATATTAACATGTACCGGTGTCGTCAAACCAATTTTAAGCATGTAGTTTCTAGATTACATCACATTCAGTTTATATTTAACAACCCGGAATTAGTCCGTCATCGGTAACAATTTGTTTTAGAATATGAATAGTACTCTTTTGTCGCAAATCGGTACCTTAAAGGCTACGTTGTAAAAGTTCTTCTTTAGCATTGGATTTTATCTTTGTTTTTTAATGCATATGTTCCTATTGTTCCTTTATTTTATTTAGTCATGATTTTCGTGTATGGTGAATTTACAATAAATCTGTGTGTCTCTGTATTATTTTCTTTCAGCCATGATAAGTGTTTTCTTTCTACAACGGGGTATTTCATTCCATTCCATTTTTTCTATTTTTTAACGTTTTATCTAAAAAATGATCTTTGGAATTGTTGCGTATACACGGATACGATTGCAACCCAACAACAAATAACAATCATACAAACAACATTCTGAGGTCAACACATTGACTGCAACTACATACGAGAGTCTATATTATATACCAAATTATAAACTGTCCTGTGCTTAAGACAAGCTTTAACAAACATATTTACATGGTTCCGTTGACCAGTTATTAGTATGAAGAAATAAAACAATGCAAAATAATACCATACCATAAGAAGGCTTGCAGTAAGCGAATGCGAAATCTGAGAATCGTATAAACCAAGTCAGTATTTTGTTATTTTCAAGGTTTTGATTACTCTTGTTTTCAGGAAAACGATTGGTTAAAAAGATCCTTAGCAATTGTCACAAATGTAATCACCAATCTTAAGGACACCCGTGAAGATGATCCGTCTTTTATAGATAAACAACCCAATTACAAGAAACTAATTGACAAGCTAAAAACAGATGTTATGACTTTGATAAAAAGTAGAATTAAACAAATTAAAAACCAACCAAGCTGTGCATTCGTAGAAGCAGAAAGTTCTGATGACAGCGAAACAAACGGGCCAAGTGATCATGCGAATAGTGGTAATGATTCTAGTGGTAATGATTCTAGTCACAGTTTAGAATGCGTAAGCGAAAACGAATCAAATTATGGTGTTGAAATTGTTGACAAATCTAATCGTTATCAACGTCAAGTGCACGATTATAAGTTGCTTTATGAATGTACATTAATATTGAAAACAGTACGCGACGATTTTTCCAAAATATACTCAATAATAGAGGGTGCAATGTGCCAGGCAAACATATAAGAATTGTATTAGTGGTAAAAATTATTCCGTATCATGTATATATTATTGTATCGTCCTCTAACTAATAATAATAAACGATTCCAAAATCCATATCCATCAACCTTAGAAATTAATTCAAGGTGATGGCAGTATCTTCGAATGAGCGACCAACCCAACTACCAAAAACAAACGAGGCAGCTGTTAAGATATCAGATTTAGCTCCCTGATATATCATTTTGCACTACTCTCAATTTGCATTGATGGTATTAAAGGCATGAAAGAACGCTCATGATCCACAATATTATGTACGGATTTCCATGCGTTAGAAAATAAACTAAGCCGGTGCTAGGGGTCGTCTTTAACTTGCAGTGAGGTGAGATTTTTTTGCTCCGTGTTGAAGGCCTCACTGTGACTTTGAGATGAAGAACAGCAATAAAAGCTCTGTTCCTTTGCTTTTTGTGTGTTCTTTTTGCTGTGCATGTACTGATTTTGTGTCATGGATGGATACCCCATATCCTTTGTTTTTCCATTAATATATTTTAGCAAATTATTGCTATAAATAATCCATCTCTTTTAAACTGTTGTAATTGCAGTACATATTTTTATTGATATTCACATGGCATGTTACTCATTTGAATTTCCACGATTTTAATTGATTAACTAATGTTTTAAATTTAAAAGAATTCACGCTCTTCTCATTTACTTGCTAATTAAAATTGAAAATCAAAAATCTAACCAGATAATCATCATGAGAGAAAAGAGTCAGAATATGCCAAGGGAACATTCAAAATTCATAAATAGAAGAGAAACTCACAACGCCATGGCAAATAAACGAAAGACGTCGGAAAGACAAACAAGTCCACAAATATTAATATAGAAAATGAACAACTGAACAACAATAACCAATCAAAACGAGGAAGGTGATCTCTGGGGCTCTGGAAGAATTGGAAGATCCTGCTACACTAGGGGTATCCGTCATTTTGTTCGTGTTTATTACAAATAAGGTGATTTATCTTATTCACTAATGACATAACCGAGGAAAAGAGGATGGGGTCGTGGTTGGAACTTATCTGTTGTCATCTGTTTCACATATATTTCATAACGAACAACCAACTCGAGATGGTGTATGTAAAGATTCGAAAGAATGACTTCCATTTACTTGGAACCTTTTGTTCAATAGCTTCCTTAAAATAAGCAATCATCTATCAAGGAAACATAATAGGAAATGCAATGTATTTTAGGGAGGGTATGGTTTTTAGGGAGAGGGGACTACAGGAACAAGAACGTTTTCAACTCAACATTATATTCATTTGATATTCATTTTGTATTGACAACATTTTTTTCTCTAGTTTATAATCAAACAATTTATTAGAAAAATCCTCTTTTTCAAAGTTTTAAAATTATCGGAATTAAACAAAAACGACATATATATATATTAAATATATATAAAAAGGTATATACTATATTTACTGAACATGAGTTTTATCAACAAACTCGTCATACATACCAGGATAAAAATTGTGTACGTTAGACGCGCGTTTAATATACAAAAGACTCATCCATGACGCTCGAATAAAAAAACCTAACAAGGCCGCATAAAGTACGAAGTTGAAGACCATTGAAGACCAAACATTCCGTTTATGGTTATGCAGATATAAAATTACAATAGATAATACTCAGGATTGATTAGGTAATAAATTAGAGTTTACATTTTAAGTAACACTTATGCATGCAGAATTTAGAATTAGAGCTCATAAACTTGAAATACAAAAAGGTCGTTACTGAATTTAATACGAAACTAGAAAATAGAATATGCAAACTCTGTAATGAGTGAAACATGTGAAAAGAAGATGAGATGCATTTTCGTTTAACATGTAAAGCTTTGTTTAATGTTAGAAGTCCATTTCTTTGCAAAATATTTTACACAAATAAATGTATTTAAATACATGATATTATATCTCTTTTTTATTTGGTAAATGGGAAATGAAGATAAAGAAATTTTGGAAGTAATTTGTAAATTATTGGAGGTTTTAATTGAAAACCGAAATAAAATATTAAATTAGATTATCTTTAGTCGTGTTTGTATAGAGTTATAGATATATGATCATATTTACAATTAATAAATAATGATAATACATAACGGGGTTCTGTCCAGTAAAGGGTTCAGAGTAACAAACAATGGGTCATATTATATATTTTTATTATTACTTATTTCATTTACTTTAGTATTAGATGTTAATCAATAAGATCAAAACTAATCATGTCATACTTTGTTTAATCTTTTTTTGTTATTATTTTTTCGTTTTGTGTGAAATTTTGATTGTAGCTATTTTGCTCATTCTGGGAGCCGTGATTGGCAAATAAAATCTTTGTTTGTTTTTGTTTTGTATAAAACGTTCTGATAATGCACCACCTGACCCTTTTGAGGTATGTGCTCTTATAGGTGCAAAAGTACACTTTTATTTTGTGTCTGGAAATGTTTTCTGTTTAAATTCCTAATGCCTGGTCTAAACTTTTCAACTTAAAGATTTTTTTTGTAGATAAAACGGCAAACATTCAATCGATTTGTTCATACAAAATAAAAACAACACTTTATAAATTGCATGCGTCCGAAGCGCTCTTGATTTACCCTCATCGGGTACGCTCAAAGCCAAATATTTGAAAGCCAAGAATGTATAAGAATCGAAACAGCTGAAGAGCTATATTACCAACAAGGACTTAAAAATGATAGCCAAACCAATCGAATGTCAACTTTGCCTGAGGGAGTTGAAACCTAAGTTTCTTAATAATTTCTAAATTTGAAAACGGACGATTTAAGATAGGTTTGTTATAAATTACGTCAGTATCGACGTAATGACTACAGAGCTGATGATACCCTCGGTGACTGATAGTCCACTAGCAGCTGGGTCAAGATGCGAAGTTCATTTCAAGTAAACAAAAATGGTAGCCTTTTCTTTCGTTCCTCTGTTCATTTCGTAAACTTGGATATGTATGATGGCTGTTTTCGAAGCTAAGACGTTTACACAGATATCAAATTTGCAGGGTACGAAGTGAGACTAACTTTTTCACAAATTGGAAAACCCCAAAAACAACATGTGATGCGGCTTCGGCAATTAGAAAGTACGTATTTTCATTCCAAAGTTTTTACATCTTTATTGTACAGTCGTCTGCTCATCAAAAAAGCACACTTGGTTTAGCTCAGTCAATTACTAAAAATAGTGTCATGTCCAATATCATCACTACATTAATCTTCGAAATGCGCATCTAAAGCAGGACATTTGTACCGTTTATGTTATTACTACCACTGGGTCAATATATCCGTTGGTGGACAGTTTTATCAGCCAAGTAGCTATTTTTTCAGTACTGGCATGAAAATATTGATATTGTTTTATTGAAATTTGATGTTATGAAAAACGAAATAATTGTACATTAAGGAATATATCTCCTTCAACCACAGCTCTGATTCCATGTCCGGGTTTGGCTTGCTTTTTTGTGGGTTCTTTTTTGTTTTAGCAATGCTTCAGTGTGTATAAGAGTTTGGACTTTCAAAAAATAGTTTGGCCTCGAGCATCACTGAAGCAATAATAATTGTCAAAATGCGTATCTAGTGCAGGAAAATTGGTGCCGTTCATGTTAATACTGCCAGTGGGTCGATATCTCTGCGGGTGCAATGTTAGTTCCCTAT